TCCTAAAGAGCTGAATGGTCAATAGCTAGACAGGAAGAGGTTAGGTGGGACTTCCTCGGACAGAGAGGGCTCTGGGAAGAAGAAAGGCAGAGTTGCCAGCCAGACGTAGAGGAAGAAGGATGGGCAGTATGGAAATGAGGAAACAAGCCATTCAGCAGAATGTAGATTTAAAAATATGGGTTAATTAAGTTATAAGAACTAGTTAGGAGCAAGCCTAAGCTAAGGACAAACTTTCATAATTAATAGTAAGACTCCAGGTCATTATTTGTGGGCTGGCAGCCCAAAGGAAGTTCAACAAGAAAGCTTGCTACAGTTCTGTACCAAATGTCAGTCTCTCTTCTTTCTCCATGTGTTTAGTATGCAGTTGTTAATGCATACTATCTTTTGTATTGAAGGCAAGTGTGCTGGGTAGTTTTTTTTAATCAAATTGATACAAACTACAGTCTGTTGGGGGATATTTTAATTGATCACACTGTGACACTCACCCTGAGACTGCCAATAAAGTTTACCTTGAATCAAAGGGTAGAGCTAGCTACTAACTGACTAAATTAACAGTAGAGGTTTGAAGGACCCAGGACATATAGAAAGAAACAGGAAGTAGTGGGGAGAGGCTTAGAGAGATGCTCAGCCCTTTTGGATTGAGGATGGAGAGAAAGAGAAGGTCACTGTTTGCTTCTCCAACACTTCTCTGATCTATCAGGTTCTTACCTTGATACTTGACTCCTGAGTTTTTATTGATAAAGAATAATTAGAAAATGCTTCAACAGTCATTTAGAAAGACAGAACTTTAAATGAGAAAACACCTTCATCAGTTTGCCCTGAAAACCATTTTCTTGATTAATTGTTGATGTGGGAGGGTCCAGCACATTAGTGGGTGATGCCACCCCTGCCTGGGCAAAGGAGCCTGGGTATAAGAAAGGTAAATGAACATGAGCACTGGAAGCAAGCCAGAAAACAGCATTGCTCCATGGTCTCTGCTTCAGGTTTTGCCTCCAGGATTTGACTTGAGTTCTTGCTTTGGTTTCCCTCAATTATGGGCTATAAGCTGTAAGGTGAAATAAACCCTTTCTTTCCCAAGTTGCTTTCAGTCATTGTCTTTATCACAGCAATAGGAAGCAAATGAAAACAAAAGTTGTTGCCTGGATTGTGGAGCATTGCTGTGGCAGAACTAACCACGTTATTTTTAGGAAGGTTGTGAAAGTGTTTGAAACTTTGAGCTGGCAAAGCCATTGAGTGTTCAACGCTTAGGGGGCTGTCCTATGGGATCTTGGAAGATCAGAGTGTTCAGAGAAATGAAGATGGTGGAGGTCTGGCTTGAGAAGTTTCAGAGGGAAGCAGAGACTCTATTAAGACAGTTTATGTGGCATTTTGAATGTGTGATTTCTGGTCCTATTGGGTTGAAGAATCAGCTGTGGTTAACCAGAGATGATCACCAGTGAAGTAAAACCTTTGCTTTGCTGAGACGACAGAGGCTGGTAAGCTGGGGCTGAAAAAAATAGTTCTAATTAATGAGAGATCAGCATCATGGAGGTGAAACATTCTGGGAAGTGTTCCCTCAAGATTTCCACGTAGAAGCTGTGGTCTGGAGGGAACTAAGGTTTCATATCAAACTGGCCGCAGAACTTGGCAAATAACGTGTTAAAGTCTTTCACATGGAACTAGTTTTGAAGGCATGAAGGAGTCATGGGGAGTAGCTGAGACTTGGCACTGTATGGCCGGGTTGGAGTCTCCATGAAGCGAGGCCAGGAGAGGCTATTGGTGAAGGTGCAGCCTCAGCTACAGTGGAGAACCCAGGATTGATGGAGGGGACCCTGGAGACAAGCTGAAGTTTGGTAGCACCTAGTAGGGTTCTAGAGGCCCGGAAGAAGCCACCGGTGAAGGTGCAGCCTCAGCTACAGTGGAGATGCCTGACTATTGGAGAAGTTAGGACTGTGGGAATGACTACCCAGGACAGTGGCATATGTGAAGTGGAGCTGGGCTGACTTTCTAAAGCAACCCGTGTGTGCTGTGAAGGACAGGGTTGAAGAGGTGGAGCTCAACCTTGTGAAGACCAGAGGATAATGAGTGAGTTCCAGACATTGGACCCTGATCTATTTATAGATTTTGGTGTTGCTTTGATTTTATTGTAAGTGTGCCCTGGTTCCTCCCTCTTAAAATAAGAAGTATATACTGTGGGTTGCACTAGCCCTGAAAGGTATAAGAAAGGTGGTTGAATATGAGGCTAGCAATAAATAGCATTCCTCCATGGTATTCCATTCCTGCATCCAGATTCCTGCTTAGCTTGGTTTCCTTCAGTGATAGACTATAAGCTATAGTCTATAAAATACAAATATAGTTTGTAAAATTATAAAATAAACCCCTTCCTCCCCAAGTTGCTTTTGGTCATGGTGTTTATTATAGATCTGGAAAGCAACTAGGGCAGTGAGTTGCCTGGAGGAGCAGAGAAGACTTGGTGACTTGTAAACCATGGGTGCCAATGCATTTCAGACCATAACTACAGTTGTCCACAGGATAAGTGCAAATCTCAGAGCTGTGCCTAAATCGGGAGACACTATGATCACTCCTCTATTTTTCAACGGGTCAACTATATGAACTGCTCACAAAACAGTAAATATTGTTATTTAAAAGTAGTGTTTTTAAAAGTTGTCAGCCATTCATGATTAAGCATTCATTACTTAACTTCTATACATAAAACTATATCCCTTGCTACTCCACAGTCTATGGTACTGAAAGATAAGATTGCCTCTGCGCTGTTTATACCAAACTGAAAAACTAGAAGAAAGAAAATGGAGACATGGCTGGAAGCGTGCTTGTTCTTTCTAGCTAAATGAAAGACAAATGAACTGTAGTCTCACATCTGCTTTCACTCAAGATGGTGTCATCATGTCATATCATTCAGACAAATGCGTTTCCCTGGCAACAGACTTTCTTTTAAGGAAAACAACCTAATGAAGGGTGTGCTAAAACCATCTTTGGGAAACTAGGAAAATAATATTTATTAAGTCTTTAATGTATAAAATATTGAGTGTGTTTTTGCTTGTTGTATTTTGTAAAGCTTGTACAGAACTTACTGAAATAAAAAGACTCCATTTTGTTGTTGTCATTTTGAGAGGTAAGTTGACTGTGCGCACTTGAGTAGACATCCTTCTGATTCTCAGAAGTAGGTCCTCACAAGACAATCCGCTGTTGCCTAGAAATAACCCCAGTGTGCAGTCTTTTACCATCAACCCCCCACTCATCAACCCCAAATCAGAGCAAGTAACTCAAGATCGGACCGTTTCTCCCTCAAATGCCCCTCTCCTGTCTTCTGTGTAAATATATCTTGGGCTGGATTTCAGTTGCATGATGGAATCATAATCCCCATTGAGGAACAAATGCTTCCTTTGCATATATGATAGCCTGGCTCTTTTGTGGTTGATACTTGAAATATAGACAGTTGATTATTGTTATTTTATATTGTTGTAGTATTTAGTACTATAAAAGTAATATGTTTATTTATGATACACTTTGATTAAGTATTAGTAAATACAAATATTCACACTCTGGAAGTGTTCATATTTCATAACTGTCTTATTTCACAGCACGAATCCATGTTGTATGCCATCCAGGAAGAAAACAGAAACATTAAGATTGGTTTAGTGCATTTAAAAGGAAGGTTTCTAGCCACCCACCAGAGAGTCCACCTTTGAACTGGCAGCCGACATACTGGCCTTCAGCTAACCTTTAATGACCTTTCCTTGCTGTGAATGAGATAGCCATGGATCCTTTCTAGAAGACAGCTTCTGCTTTTGCTACATTTTTGACAACGTCAATCACAATTCCTGAGTAACAAACACAGAGACTTCCAGCCTTGCTTTGAGTTTAAGTCCTCAACACAGTTTCCATTTTCTCTGAGCATGGAAATGTAATTTAAGGCTCCTTGAATGTGTGTCTCCAGGGTTGCAGACCTAATTAGCCTCAAAGAAATGCGATTTTCCTTGTCCTCAGCCAGACTTATTTTATTCTTCCTTGACAATGCTAATAGTCCTAATTAAGAAAATATGCTTGGCTTGAAAACGAAATTTCAGCCTTTGTAATAAAAGCTAATATGTTATTCTCCCCATATCTACAAGCAATAAAGTCTATTCTGTGATGGTTGCCAATAAACAAACATGTTGACAAAGTTAGATTTTTGCATTAGCATACATTGTTTACCAAACAATATATTCTATCTATAAAAAAGAGAAACTCAGAGAAGTATAAATAAGAAATGAACTACATTCGTTATCCTATTTTTTTTCAAAAATCACTAGTCTTAATATAGTATACATAACATTTTTGCATATACAAATGTGTATAACAAAACCTTAAAGTCATATAGTCATCTCTGTTGTGGTCAAAAAGAATTATAGTAGTAAAAGTATCTCTGTATGTGTATGTGTGCATGTGTGTGCACACACCCATGTATGGCATGTTTATGTGAGTGTGTGACATGTGCATACTACAACACTTGTAGAGGTCATAGGACAACCCTGTATAGTAGAAATCCTTGACTTCTTTGGTTGGTTGGTTGGTTTTTGGTTTGGGTGTTTTTTGTTTGTTTGTTTGTTTGTTTGTGTTTCTGAGGTATACCAAAGCTATCCTGCTCAGGGACTTCTGGGAATCACCTCCTCTGTCTCTCATCTATGCAGAAGGGCTATCACATCACACTTTTCCATGGGTTCTGTGGATCTGAACTCAGGTCTGTCGAGCCCTTTACCCACTGTGCCATCTCCCCAGCCTCATTTAAAAGTTTCAATAAAGACCAAACACAGTGGACGCAAAGAAAAGCACAACTCTTAGAGAGAGTGGCACTCCTACAAGAAATGGGATGTGTTATGTCAGTTAGAAGGAGGTGTCGCCGGGCCTTGCTTCCAGGGCCATTTGTGTGAGATTTTGTCTTAGTAGAAAGGTGAGCAGCTCACTATTCTGCTATATGATAAGCTTCACAACATCATTTGCTCTTCATGAGACAGGCTAATTGGAGACACTCAGCCTTTCAGGCTCTGGAACTCTTCCATCCACCAGATCTGCAGCTTCTCATCTTCAGCTCTCCACAGACATTGCCATCGGTGGCCTCATCACTTCTGTCCCGCTGCTCTCGAAAGCTCGTATGCTGCCCTTTCATCACTGTGGCTCCTCTTGCTGTTGCTGCCACCATCATGACTGTCAAAATCATGACTGTCACCATCATGACTGTCACCACTACTGTTGGAGTTCTCTCTTTATGTTACCATGTCAGCACACTCTACTAACGGTGCAGCTCAAAAGTCATCAAGAAATACCCACTCAAGAGATACTTTTTGTTACAACACCAGGGGACAAGATGGGGGGGGGGGTGGTGGTGGTGGCTTCAGTGTCATTCAAATGAGAGGACAGGCCTGCTTACAAAGCCAGAAAGAGGGTGTGGGGAACATGTTTACTTCCATCACAGCAGACTTTCACTTTAATGTCAGACTGTTCATAACAGTCACAGCCCAGGTCTTCATGCAAATGAGAATCTCTTCTTGCATCCATTCAGAAGTCCCTCCTCCAAATGAAGAACCATATTGGCATTAACCACAAGCCTTTTCCTGGGTAACCAAGGAATATGTCCCACTTAGAGAAGGGGTAGAAATGGCTTCATAATCATGCACAGTTTACATTTAAAGAGATCTAATTCTTCTTTTTCTAAAACACACTTTATTGTTAATTTGGAAATATATGACATTGTGTTTACTCATTTCTTCAAATGAGGCAAAGTTCATTAACGCTTGTGATGGAAAACATCTGGCATAAGGTGTGTTTCACAATAGTGGCTGAGACAATGTCTTCAGAAGTCAGCATTATGCTGTGGTAGCAAGCAGTTGTGACTTTCACTGCCAATGCACACATGATGATATTGCACCAAGCTGCTTGCGTTATGATACGCTGCTCAAGGTAGATGGTTTGATAGGTTTCTAGGGAAGGTTTGACAGCTATACATTACTGAGTAAGACGGTATCAACCTCCACCAATCATCTTTCCTTATTTAAAGGAAAGGGTGTGCTTAATAAAGACTTACTCTTAATATGAACTATTATTTAACAGTGTTTAACAGTACTTCACCAGTGCTATACTGGTTAGCTTTAAACCATCCCCATTAACATGGACTAGATATCTGAGAATGGAGCCTCACTTGAGGGATTTCCCTGATCAGATCGGCGTGTGGGCATATCTGCAGGAGATGGTCTTGATCATTAATTGTGCTGGCTAATTTTATGGCCATTTGACACATTCTATTGTCATTTTGTAAGAAGGAACCTCAATTTATAAAATTCCTCCACTAGATTGACCTGTGGGCAAAACTGGTGCATTTGCTTGATTATTGATGCAGGTGGGCCCAGCTCACTGTGGGTGGTGACACCCATGGGCTTGAGGACCTGCTTCCTATACTAAAGCAGGTCGAGCAAGCCACTGGGAGCAATGCCACAAGCAGCACTCTTCCATGCCTTCCACCTCAGTTTCTGCTTCTCTGTTTTTACCTTAAATTCCTGCCCTAACTGTATGATAGACTGCAAACTGTAAAATAAAATAAACCCTTTCCTCCCCAAGCTGCTTCTTGTCATGGTGTTTTTTTTTTTTCACAGCAATAGAAACCCTGACTAATATATTAATTGGTGTGGAAGGGCCCCACCCACTGTAGGCAGTACCATTCTCTCAGTCGGAGACCCTGGTCAGTATAAGAAAGCTAGCTATGCATAAGCCCATGAGTGATCTATCAAACAGAATTCCTTTAGGTCTTGCTTGGATTCTGAGATTGGGTCTGGCTTGACTTTACACACTGCTTTTAGATGCTGTCACAGTTCATATGTGTAGATGCCCTGTTATGCCTGGAGGAGATTGTTCCCTTGTATTCATCTCCAACACTAGCCCTACAGTCTTTCTGCCCCCTCTTCTGAAAGGACCTCTGAGTTTTTGGAGGAGGGGATGTGATATACATGTTCCATTTAGGGTTGAACACTCTTTAATCCATTGTGCTATGTGCTTTGGCCAATTGTGGGTCTCTGTAGTAATCACAATAATCTGCAATTAAAGGCTTCGCTTGTGAGAGCTGAGAGATATATTAATCTATTGATATAATAAGTCATTATATCAATATAATTAGGAGTCAGTTTAATACTGTACCAATTTAGCAGCATAAGAGTGGTTCTCCCCTAAAGCCTAAGACCTGTCAAGACACAGATTTATAGACAACAATGGTGTCAGGTATGTGTTTCAACTTGCAGATTGGATCTTAAATCCAAGCAGGAAGTGCTTGGTTACTCCAATGATGCTTGGGCAACTATTGTAGAGTGGGCATGTCTTGACAGGCCAGTCAATCTTGAATTAATAGGGTTCACAGCTGGGTAAGACTGATGAATACTTTGGTCCTCTGATAGTGTACACAACACATTCTAGAACTACGAAAGCTAGAAAGTAGGCATGAGACTTCCAGGTCAGTACAAGCCTAATAGCTCCACAATTTATGACTCAGCAGTAGGGTCTTTCTGTCAAGTTCTGGAAGGTAACCAAAAGCATTGACAATGGCTTGTTACATTTGGGGGCTTCAGGGACCCCACTGGCTAACAGCTGCAAAAGCAGTAACCTCCCTCACATTGGGCTTTTTATTTCTCAGCTTGTGGTGTCTACTATGGACATTAGCATAGTCATGTCATTATAGGGCAACTGCAGTCAACTCATATAATTCATATATCTGAGTAAAATCCATGTACTTGTGAGTTGTAGCATATATATTTATCCATACTCACATTCCCTCCTCTATGCCACACTCCCATCACCCACTCTAATGTAATATTTCCTGTTTCATTAACCCCCTTTTAGGCTTTATACCACTGCTTTCTATTGCCTCCCTCTTGAACTGCCCCCACCCATTGCTACTTGCAACTTTCCTGACCTATAAGTATTCCAAATGAAATATCTGAAGTATCAACACTAACATCCACATGTTAACATTTGGATGAGAGAAACATGTAACATTTGTCTTTCTGGGTCTGGGTCATCTCACTCAGTTCCATTTACTTACCTGAAATTTTCATTTTTATTTTATTATCTCATACATTATATCCTGACTGCAGTTTTCCCTCCCTCTACTCCTTCCAGTTCCCTACCACCTCCCCTCTTCCCCCTCCTCCATTTCCATTCAAAAAATGAGAACAGACCTCCCAGGGATGTCAACTGAACACGGCATAACAAATTACAGTAAGACTAGATGCAAACTCTCATATCAAGCCTGGATGAACAACCCAGTAAGAGGAAATGGGTCCCAAGTGCAGACAAAAGAGTCATAGACACCCTGTACTCCCAATGTTAGGAGTTCCACAAGAACACCAAGCTATACAACCATAAGGTATATGCAAAGGACCTAGTTCAGACCCATACAGTCTCCATGATTGCTGCTTGTCTCTGTGAGGCCCTAGGAGCCCTGTTTAGTTGGTTCTGTGGACTGTGTTCTCATGGTGTCCTTGATCCACTCTGGTCCTACAATCCTTCTTCCCCCTCTTTTGCTAGGTTCCACTGCATCCACTTAGTGTTTGGCTATGGATCTCTGCATCTGTTCCCATCAGTTGCTGGATGATGTCTCTCTGATGACAATTGGGCTAAGCACCGATCTATGACTATAGGAGAAAACAGAATATCATTAGGAATCATTTCATTGACTTTTTTTTTTCTTTTTTCTGCGAGGGGTATTTGGTTCTATCCTGGGTCTCTGGGATGTACAGCCTCTGGTTTCTGGCCATCCTGGCAATGTCAGGCTTGGGCTCCCTCTAGTGGTATGGACCTCAAGTGGTTGGACCTCAGTCATTGGTTGGCCACTCCCACAAGTTCTGTGCCACCCATACCCAAACACATATTACAGTAGGGAATATTGCAGGTTGAAGGTTTTGTGGCTGGGTTGATGTCCCAGTCCTACTGCTGGGAGCCTTGACAGTGGAACAACTTCCTGAACAGAGCACTAATAGTGCCGGCACTCAGAACAACAATCAATAAATAGGAACTAATGAACCTGAAAAGCTTCTGTAGGGAAAAAGACACCATCAATAGGACAAAATGGCAGCCTACAGAATGGGAAAAGATCTTCACCAACCCCATATCCGATAGAGGGCTAATATCCAGAATATATAAAGAACTCAAGAACCTAGACATCAACAAACCAAATAATCTAATTTAAAAATGGGGTATAGATCTAAACAGAGACTTCTTAACAAAGGAATCTCAAATGGCTGAAAAACACTTAAAGAAATGTTCAACATCCTTAGCCTTTAGGAAAATGTAAACCAAAACCATTTTGAGATTCCATCTTTACCTGTCAAAATGGCAAAGATTAAAAAAAAAAAAAAAAAACAATGACAGCTCATGCTGGCAAGAATGTGGGGCAAGGGGTACAATCCTCCATTGCTGGTGGAAATGCAAATTTGTACAGATACTAGGGAAATCAATATGTCAGTTCCTCAGAAAATTGGGAATCCATCTACCTCAAGACCCAGCTGTACCATTCTTGGTCATATGCCCAAAGGACACTCCATCCTACCACAAAGACACTTGCTCAACTATGTTCATAGCAGCTTTATTCATAATAGCCAGAAACTGGAAACAAACTTGATGTCTCTCAACCAAAGAATGTATAAAGAAAACGTGGTACGTTTACACAATGGAGTGTTACTCAGCTGTTAAAAACGATGACATCATTAAAATTTTAGGCAAATGGATGAAACTAGAAAAAAAATCATCCTGAGTGAGGTAAACCAGACCAAGAAAGACAAACATGGTATGTACTCACTTATAGGTGCATTTTAATTTTTCTTAATAGAAGAATAATTTTCACTGTGTAAATTTACCACATTCATCATTCATTCATCAATTGATGGGCACATCTATGCTGCTTGCATTTCCTGGCTATTTTGATGGGAAGAGTGATGAACATTGATCAGCAGGTATGTCTATAGTAAGATACAGGATTCTTTGAGGATGGCATAGCTGGATCACGTGACAGATTTATTTTTAGATTTTTTTTTTAGGAACTGATTTCCACAGTAACTGCACTAATTTGGACTCTCACCAGCAGTGAAAAAATGTTCCTATCTTCCCAAACCATACCCACACCAGCATTATCTGGTCCTAGCCATTCTTACTGGGTAAGATAGACTCTCAAGGGCTTTCTGATTATATGGTGTGTGTGTGTGTGTGTGTGTGTGTGTGTGTGTGTGTGTGTGTGTGTACACAAGGCAAAGCTTTACTCTTGATCAAGGAAGAGTGAACACAGTGAGAGGAGAGTGCACTTTCCCCTCTAACATAGGTGGTAACTGTACCTTTTCCTCATTGGCTGGTGTCTGACCTCATAGTCTTTTGAGATTGGCTAGTTTTAAAAGATTCAGTACAGCCGGGCGGTGGTGGTGCACGCCTTTAATCCCAGCACTCGGGAGGCAGAGGCAGGCCGATCTCTGTGAGTTCGAGGCCAGCCTGGTCTACAAAGCGAGTTCCAGGAAAGGCGCAAAGCTACACAGAAAAACCCTGTCTTAAAAACCAAAAAAAAAAAAAAAAAAAAAAAAGATTCAGTACAAAGGATGTGAATGGGGAAGAGGAAAGCAGCCACTGCTGTCTGTGGGGAGATGAGAAGTGAACAGCATCCTAAGTGGATGTATATTATTGACATGTGCATGGCCATGTCAAGGACCCAATGCCTCAGGCTCATGGGAAACTGTCAAAGCCTTCACCATGGGCCAGGCTCAGAATTGGCCAAGCCTTCCTCTGGTCCATGGACAAGTATCTATGGCTAAAAGGCTAATGTGTGCAAACACTACAGCTGCAGCTGCATGTTTATAGCCTGAGACTGCTCACCTACATGGACCTCCTATGGAGACAGCTAATTTCTCCCTGTGCTGTACATAACACATAAGCTTAGGTTCTGAGATGCTGTGGTAGTTGATACCACTCCATCAGAATGCTCACATCCCTCCTGACTTCAGTTTTCTGTATATGTGTCTATCTAGACACAGAGCCCTTTCTTCATTTCCTTAAAATCCTGGCCAGGTTTTCAGAGCCAAGCTCTGCAAGTCACAGCACAATACTTCAAGGCAAAAAGGACCACCCCTCCGGGCCATCAGAGCAGAGGCCTTTGTGTAAACAAAGGTTTTGCTATGTATACTTTTAGATTGTTTCCTTGACTCTCAAGAATAAAGAAAACAATTAGAAGTCCAGGGGATTTAGTGTAAAGGCAAGTTAATGAGAGCAGTGGGTGATAGGGCTGAACTGCCGGACTGTGCAGATCCATAGAGAGATGTTGACATCTATCTGGAGATGACTGATGAGATTAAAAAGAAGCAAGACACCTACCTCAGATGCAGCTTGAGGAAGATTTCCACAATCCAAATCAGCTAAGGCTCTTCCAGGCAGAGGAGAATGAAAGCCAAGTTCTCATTATCTATGCATGAGATGCCTGGCCAGTGGAATTCTCCAGTCCAACGAGCATGGCTCTCTCTGCATTAGTAACAGGGCCGTAGGGAGGCACAGTATGTCTCTCCTGTGGACCTATCACTCCATGAAGAAGTTGTCAGGTACTTATGGATGAGACAAAGATGTGTAAGGAGGGTTTCATATGGAGCTGTTGTATAGTCACCACGTTTACAGAGTCCCTGTCAGTTCTAGTCATTTCCTTTGTTGAAGTCTTGAGGTTTGTTATGGTTTGTCTCTGAAACATGCTTTAAAACTTGTTTTGAAAGCATGGACTCCAATGTAGCCACATATGGAGCTGGGGCCCTGAATAGTGAGTGGGTTATACGGCTCTAACCTCATCAGTGGGTTACTTGATTGATCAGTTTATAGCTTAGAAACTATTAGGAGGTGGGGACAGGTTGGAGAAAGTAGGTCTTAAGTAGATTTTTCTTGCTTAGTTTTTCACAGCAATAGCTGGTTTCCACAGGGTTGGAAACAGTTTCTTCCTTACTACTGTAATACTAATTGTTTTGATATCCCACAAACCACAAATGTTTTAAATGGCTTCAAGAACAGTGGATTATGGTGATATTTTATTTGTACTGAAATGTGATTTAATTTGTATGTAAATAAAAAAAGTTGCCTGGGGGTCAGAGCTAATAGCAAGCCATAGCAGAAGCTGGGCGGTGGTGGCGCTCACCTTTAGTCCAGATCACATGACAGACAGATCTCTGTGTGTTCAAGGATACAGCCAGCATGGAGACACATGCCTTTAATCTCAATACCAACCATAGAAGACCAGGAGGTCTGTATAGACAGGCAGTGACGAGGAGGTCATGTGGTTGGGTTTACAACCAATAAGAAGGCAGAACAGAAAGTCAATAAAAAGACAGACACACAGGAAGTAGGCCTCTTGCTGAAGGGAAGGACAACAGTGGCAGGAAGGGTAAGAAGGCTGTTTTAAGTCTCAGCTCTCAGCTACTGCTCTGACCTCTAGGGCTTTTAACTCTGCATTTGGCTCTGTGTTTCTTATTTAATAATAAGACTGTCACATCTACAGTGGATCATTTCCAGAAGGCTTTAATCTGCTACCCAAATCTCTAAGAAGAATTACTATCTAGGGCAGCTGAAGTCTAACAAAAGGTGTCCTTTAAACCATTAGATGTAAAAGTCAAATATTACTCCTTGGTGCATAGACTGCAGAATGTAAGTTGTATAAGGAAGCAAGAAAAATATTAACATTATGATATCTTTCCATCTGAACTCTTCAGTAACAAAGAGAATTGTCAATTGGTGGTAACATTTTCAAAGAAGTCTTTCTTCTGAGCAATAGATTACAATAGTCAATATATGCAAATCTTTGCTTTATACAGATGTGCTCTCATCCAGGCTTGTTGTTCCTTTAGGCAACATAGGCTCATTAGACAGATTATAATTTTTGAAGTCTTGAGGTTTGCTATGGTTTGTCTCTGTCACTTATTTCCAAACCTGTGTTGAAAGCTTAAACCCCAATGTAGCAAGTGTGCAGAGTTGGGGCCCTGAGTGATAATCAGGTTATGAGGGTTCTAACCTCATCAATGAGTTATTGGTTGATCAGTTCATAGCTTAGGAACTATTAGGATGGGGAGTACTTGAGTGAGGTTGGTTTATGATGGTGGGATAAATCCTAGGATTTTTCATACTAGAAATGATCATTGGTTTACAGTTCAGTTGCAGATGCATTAGTCCTATATCATTTAGTCTTTGTGTTTCTGGGACAAAATGCTTGGCATAAGCATTAAGGGGGTAAGGTAGCTCCAGCTGAAGCTAAAACAAAACAAAAAGGGGGGTATAGATGTAGCATCAGAAACCCTACAGCAATCCTAGTGGGTACAAGACTAAAGCAGGGAGACCCTGGGCCAAGGCTAACCTGTGTGCTTTGGAGATCCTATCTCCAAAAACGGGAGGAGGGAGGATAGGGTCGGACAAAACTGACCCACAACATTAAGGATGGCCATTAAACAGTGGAAGTTTAAGAGTAAAGGAAGGAGGATAAGACAGGAGGTCAGAGGCTGTGTGTTGTCACATTAAATCATGTTCTGAGTATGGCTTGCTGGAGTCACTCACATGGATGTAGCCGCAGTCTGTCTCGATCCCCTTACATATCTGTCACAGGCTCATATTCTGTCTTTTCATGTCCATTCAAATGGGCTTAGCTACACAGTCCATCTTTGTGCCATCAACCTGTTTGAGCACAGGTACAATCTGTCTACATGGCCTCATATTTCTTCTCTGGCCACTTGAGTTGGTGCCCTCTAAGGAGGACCAAACTTTTTCAGTGTTCACTTTCTGTGTTGATTTTTGTGGGTTCTGCCCCACAACAGAGCATGTGGTTTTGGGTTGGGTGGCTAGTTTTATTACTCCAGATGTCTTTTGGTCTCTAGGTACTGGAAAGATGGAGAGAGCTCCTAGCATGCTTTATAGTTGTGTAACTTATACCCTACGACCTTTAAGCACTTGCCACTGTTCATCCTTTTTCTGGTGAGTCAGTGAGTCACACACCAGTCTATGGCTCACACCAGATGTCCAACACATGGGACACTGCACAGTTCTGACCCAGTCTCCCCCTCTACATAGAGATATTTTTCTGGCCAGGTCTCAGTGTATAGTTCCCTGATATTTATCCTATTTGCCCAGAATGGGCTATGAGGGGAAGGGAGCCTACTGGACACCAACAAAGCAGGGGTCTGCTGATAATAGCCTCTTGCCACTGCTCTAGTAGAGTGATGAAAGGGGGCAATTTCTGTTAAATCTACATGGCACAAGGACTCCAGGATTCCCGTCTGGTTGGACTGTAGACCTGCTCAATGGTATATTCAGTGTTGACAGTGTTTTTGAATCTTTGTTCTGTATTATACCTACACCCCCCACCTCTCTCCAGCTCATCTCCTCTTTCTAAAGTGCCCTTTCTTTCTTTTCATATTCGTTGTTTTTAATGCCATCCTAGGTGCCAATGTGTCCGTAAGGCATTCTTATATACTATATAAGTGACATATTTTTAAAAAATAAAATCAAATGAAGCCTAGAAAAATCCTCATGTAGCTACTGTCCGACAACTGCATTTGTAGTCAGCCAGGTAATTGTAAGTGATATTGTCAAATGCTATTGGAGAGATTTATGCTAATGGTTGCTCACTTTACCTCACAGTAAGACATTAATTTAGTAAGTTACTTACTCTCTTTTTAGTTAGAACATTAACTAAATCACATTGGGAAAATAAAACCTAGAAGCAGAATCTAATTGGAAACATTGTTTAAGACAAGGAAGCATTCCTGTATCTATTTAGGGTTTCATTATGCTTCAGCTGGGGGGAGTTTCATGAAACTCACCTGAAGTCCTGGCAGTTCCAGCTAAAATTCATATTTACCAAAGACACAAGTGGAAGGATGACCATGGAATTTTACTGCTTTCGTTTAGTAAACAATGCATAAAAATCTTTGCTAAATTTCAGGGATCCACGAACGTAAAAGCCAGTCAAGCTTGTATTCAAATACGTATGGAACCTAGCAGGGGAAGAGAAACACAATTAAACCAATAGCAATGCTTCCAGGAAAGAGGACATTTAAAGAAATTTGCATAAAATAAGAAAACAGGGTGAGAGAGTAATGTATTCTTCCTAGATGGGGCATAGAGTCTTCAGTGTTATCTCAGCTCCTCCAGACATGGTACTTTAAAGATGATTTTTACATGAGTCAAATCATCCACTAAATAAACTGTGGGAAGTCACGTTGATTCCTGAGATTTGCTCAAGCTGAAGGAGCAGCCATCTAGACAATACAAAGGGACCTGGAACTCCAGGAGGAGCATCCTGGGAAGGGAGCATTTGAGCAGCAAACGAACACACTAGGACTGTTCCACCTGGGAGAGAGAAAAGTGAAGTTGGAGAGGGGAAGCTGCTTCACCAAAAATTAAAACAAATGGATCAGGACTAAGAGTGCCTAGGAGCAAGCTTGCTTATTGATTAGGAGAGACTGTACCATAGAAGTTAAAAATAGGCTTTGCAGAGAGACGTTGAAATATTTTTCTAGAAGCAGAAATACTTAAATAATCTTTCAGTTCAGTGAAAACTTAAAATGGAACATTTTCCGTTCAAATATCATTAAGTTTTCAGGGTGGTAATCTAGCCTTCAGGCCCTGTAAAGAACTGAAGGTCCAGGAAGTCAGTCTTGACTTCCCTTTGGGGATATTGCATTGTAGCAGCTGTAATCTTTCTCATTTGGTCTAGAATGGGAAACTACAAGCTTTGAGATATGCAGGTCTAAATCACGAATCTGTCAGTTATTGCTGGGCAATAGATAAATTCTAAAATTTTCCATTTTCTCTTTGAAATGTGACCATGCAAGTTAAAGTTTCCACCTAAGTTCCATTTTACATAGAAATTCACATGCATGTTTTCTTCTGATGAAGATGCAAATTAATAAAAAATTACATTTTAAAAGTATATAGAATATAGAGATCTAAATATTGATTTAGTTGAAGGTATCCACATGCACACACACACATACAGTTACATAGACACATGCATACACACATTTAACTTCGAAGGTTACTTAGTGACCAGTAACACAGAAGCTTCACCATTAAATGAATTGTTTTAAGATTAGTTGTCTTAAATATTACAATAAAGTTATCTGGACTGGGAGTGCTTTTCATTTAGGATTGAGAATACAACGCTCAACTGTTATGAAGTCTCTATTTAAAATGTATACTTTTGAGTATTTCACCATTCCTTTTTAATATTCATAAGTAATAATTTACACAGTACTTTTACATCTTAAAAGAATATGATTTACATTTTCATTCTTTCTTTTTTAAATTTATTTTTATTTAAACTCTTTGAGACAATATATTTGGATCATATTCTTTCCCCTCCCCCAATTCCTCCAGATCTGACAGAAAATCAGTCTCTTTCCCTAGAGTGTCACTGGGTATATCAACCACACTACAGGACAAGCCCCATGCCCAGGAGTGATTGACCAACACAAGACAGACCCCATGCATTTTTGTTAAACCTTTTCCCCTTTCTTTCTTGGGAGAACAGCAGAAGTACTGATCCTTGACTCAGTTCTCCTTGTCTGTGTGGCCTGTTAACCTCATTGACTGTCTCCAAGAACTGGGAACTGGCTTTCTCCCACATTATTAAAAAAAATTGTATTTGGTTTTAAGGTGCTTTCTTCTAAGTAGATCAAAGTTTTCTATTACAAAATTAAGATACCCGTGTACTTCAAATGACACAGTATTGAATGATGAATAGGTCATTGGAGAATTCAGGAGAAAAATCCTATAATTATTATAGGTGAATGTATGTGAAACGTAATGTACCAGAACCATCGTGATGCTGTAACAGTGGTTGCCACAGGGAACTGTATAGGTATAAATATATAAATGTATGCATATTTTAAAATATCAGAGTGATATCAAGTAGGTGGCTCCTTAATTCACTTCAAGATCTCAGAAAAGCAAGAATAACTCAAAACACAAAACAATATGAAGAATAGAGACAAAAAGAATATATAAGAATAAAATAATTTCTTCAAAAGATACACATGATTGATAAACCTAGCCAAACTAACAAAATATAAAGATAGAATTCAAATTAATACAACTAGTGATAAAAAGGACATGTTATAGCAGATTCTAGCAAACTCCAGAGGGTTATTAAGGCATACTTTAACAATCTCTATTTCAATAAATTGGAAAAAATCCAGAAGAAATGGATACATTTCTGGGCACATAGGACTTATTAAATTAAGCCAAGAAGTTGTAGACAATTTTAAAAGATACATAGCATACAAACAGATTGAAGCAGAAATACAAAATCTTGAAACTAAAAAGCCCAGGCCAGTTGGAGTCTCTGCTGAATTCTATCAGGCCTTTAAAGGACTAACACAATTGCTTCTGAGATGATTCTTCAAAATTTAAAGGAGACAGTGCTACCGAACTCATTCTAAAAGGCAGTATTACCCTGATACCAAAGTTAGATAAGGATGTAGCACAAAAGTAGTCATAGGGCAATCTCCCAAATGAACACAGATGCAAAAATTCTCAACAACCCAGTAAAAAAAAAGAGCATTCATCATGACCAGTTTGGTTTCATTCTAGGGATGCAAGGGTGTTTTAGTGTATCCAAATGAAGAAATGTAATATAGCCAATAAACAGACCCAAGGTCAGAAAACAAAAGATTGTCTAAGGTGAAGAAAAGGTATTTGGCAAAGTTTAATATTCCTTCATGATAAAAAAAATCCCTGAGCAAATAAAGATAGAAGAAATACAAATCAACACAATAAAGGCTGTATCAAACAGACTTATAGCCAACATTATATTAAATGTGAAAAACAAAGTATTTCCACTAAATTAAGGAAGAAGTCAAAGGTATACGTTTTCTCCACTCTTACTCAACATAGTGGTTAAGTCTTATTAGCTAGAGCAACAGAATGAAAGAAAGAAGAGAGATGCTGACAGGAGATGAAGAACTTACATTATCCCTATTTGAAGACAGCATGGCCCTATGTATGGGACCCTAAAAACTTGATGCTGATAAACATTTTCAGCAAACTGGCAGGGTATAATTATCATCACTGTCATTGACAACAAATCAGTAATTTTCACATAACAAACAGGCTGAGAAGTAAATCAGGGAGACAATCTCACCTACAACAGCTTAAAAACACCGTGAGTGAACACAACCAAGGAAGCACAAAAATCTCTACAGTGAAAAATTTAAAAGACTGAAAAAAATATGAAGAAAGTAGAATATAAATATTCTGCTTATGGATTGGCAGAATTAATTTAATGAAAATGTACTGTATTAGCCGAAATGATCTACAGATGCAGGACAGTCTCCATATAAAAACCTCATTGACATTCTTTCCTGAACTAGGCAAATGCTAAGATCATATGGAAACACTAAAGACCCCAAACAAACAAAGCTGTCTTCATCAAAAAGAACAAGGCAGTATCACGATACCTCATCTCAACTTACACACAAAGATTTAGTAACAAAAAATTGCATTATTATTGGCAGGAATACAGAGGGCCTAGAAATAAAGACACAGCTACAGCCACCTGATTTTTGACAAAGATGTAATATATATATATATATATATATATATATATATATATATATATATATACACACACACACACACACACACACACACACACACACACACAGGAAGAAAAAGACAGCTTCTTCCTACATAGAACAATGAAGAAAGATATCTATTCCTCACCTTCCATAAAAGTCAATTCAAAATAGATCAAAGGCCTTGATATAAGCTGTGAATCTCTGAAACTGTTAGAGGAAGAAGTAGGGGAAATGTTTCAAGCTATAAACATAGGCAAGGACTTTCTGAAAATGACCCCAATAGCTCAGGAAGTAAAACCAAAAATTGATAAAAAGGGTTATATAAGGGCTGGAGAGATGGCTCGGCCGTTAAAGGCTAGTCTCACAACCAAAAAGGGTTATATGAGATTTAAAAGTTTCTGCCCAGCAGGGGAAGGGACAGTGTAAGTAGGAGAAAATATTTGCTCGCTATATATCTGATAGAGAGCATTAACAACTAGAATATATAAAGAACTCAAAACTCTAAGAAATCAAGTAGCCAATTCCATAAATGTGAAGCACAAACGAACAATAAACAGATGAAAAAATAGTCAATACCCTTAACCATGGAGGAATGCACAATAGAATTGCACCTGATATTCCATTTCACTTGCTATAATGGCTATCAGGCAACTCCCCAGGCCCCAAATCAGGGTTATGGGTTGGCCCACCCCATCTGTGATCTGCTGGAGCACATGAAGGGGCTGATCCTGCGGAACCACAGCTGCAGGATTTCTACACCACAGGGCAACAGCAGAATAACCAAGAGGAGTTCCAATGAGAGTTCAACCTCAATACTATAGCTGACATCAGAGGCCTCGAACGAGACTAATGACTCTGCAATGAACACTTGAAAATAAAGACATATGGACAAAAGGGTTGACAGTGTGACTGACTCACTGTGTCACACTACAGTTTCCATGATGAGATTTTTTTTCCTTTTTTTTCTTTTCTTTTTTCTCTTAAATTTTATGGAAGGTGCATTGCAAGGAGAGAGGGTGTATACAGAGTGACTGGAAATATGTGGGAGCAAGATACATGATGAGAAAGACACAAAGAATAAATAAAAAGGAAGTTTAAAAGAAAGAAAGAAAACAAATGGCAACAGGTAACAGTAAGGGTGTAGGAAATGTATCTGTATATATACGTATATACCACTAGTGGGAATGGAAACCAAGTTTGTCCCTGTGGAAATCAGGAAGGAGGTTCCTCACAGAACTAAAAATAGATCTTACTATGCCATTGCAACCTGTGACCCAACTATACCACTCTTGTACATACATCTGAAGGACTTTGAGTCAACACATCAGAGATGCTTGCACATTCATGTTGATTGTAGCATTCTTCATAAGAGCCAAGTTATGGAATCTGCTTCACTGTCAACAGATTAACCAACA